CTAGACCATTTAACCAACTCACATCTCTGCTCTCCATACTTAATTTTTTAAATTACAGAATTATAGTGGGGGCCACTGGCGTAGAGGATGGGTACCAGGGATTCCTTCATATACAGTGGTGCCTCGACTTACGAATGTCCTGACTTACGACCATTTCAAGTTACGATCATCTCTGGCTGCAAAATTTTGGTTCGACTTGCAGCTGGAGCTTCCAGTCACAGTCAAAAAAGGCAGGGAAAAAGGGTCAGGAATTCAAATTGCTAACTGTTGGTAGGTGAAGAGGCTGCTTCTTTGTAGCTCTTTCGCACCAATAGTTAAAGTGAGTGTGTTCAGAGGAAGCTTGGGACTGCCTGGTAAGGTAAGGTGCTGCTTTCTGCTTTTTAAAAACTATTCTGGGTGGGTTTTGCAGGGTGGGTTTGGGCTCTGGGGATTATGTTTCTGTGCTGTATTTTTGTTTTTGGTGATTTTTTTGCAGTCCCAGCGCCTTCGATGGGGCTTGCTCTGTTGTTTATTTTTGGTTGGGTTTTTTTTAAAGCCCCAGTGCCTTCCCATGGGGCTTGCTGTGTGCTTTATTTATTTGGTAAAATATTCTTTGGCCGGAACGGATTAATCGTGTTCCAATGCATTTCAATGGGAAATGGTGCTTCGACTTATGACCATTTTGAGTTACGTCTATCTTCTGGAATGGACTATGGTCGTAAGTTGAGGCACCACTGTAAATGTGGAAGGTGCAGCCCATTTTCCGCCCTCTGCTGGGCATACGCTATAAATGGAGTGCAGATTAACATCTATATGAGGTTTCTGAGGGAGATCATCCAGAAAACTGGAGTCTGCTGTCATCAGCACGCTGATGACACACAGCTCTGTTTCTCCTTTACATTGTCAGCAGTGGGAGTTGTACAGACCCTGGAATGCAGTCTATACTTGTTATAGACTGCACAAGAGCTAACAGACTGAAATTGAATCTTATAAAGACAGAGACCTTTCTGTTGAGAGGGGGTCCTGCCTGGCTAGGTCAGGACCAGGTTACACTCCCTCTGAAAGACCAGATTCACAACTTAGGTGTGTTGCTGGACCTGGCTCTTACTATGGAGAAACAGATCTCAGTTGTAGCCTGATCTACCTTTTTTCCAGTGTAGGCAGATTGCACACCTGTGGCCCTATCTAAACAGGAAATCCCTAACAATGCTGCTTGGTGCTTTGGTAATCTGGAGAATTGACTACTGTGATGTCTCTATGTGAGTCTATCCTTGAAGGTGGTATGGAAGCTACAATGGGATACAGAATGCAGCAGCCAGACTGGCCTCGACTATATCGAGATAAGACCATATCTCTCAAGTCCTGGCCTGTCTGTACTGGTTGTCTGTATGCTTCCATGCCAAATTCAAGGTATTAATGGTAACCCATAAGGACCTTAATGGTTTGAGACTCACTGTTTGAAATTGTCTGCCCATTCCACCTGCTCCATTCAGACGATGATCCTGCACTTGCCACAACAAGGAGACAGAGAAATCTCTGAGTAGGAATTGGGCCTTCTCAGTGCTGGCTGCCACATTATGGAATGCATTGACAGTGGAAGTATGTCAGGCCCCTTCCCTCTAGTATTCAAAAAGTCACTCCAAACACATCTGTTCAGAGAAGCTTTTTTGGATACCTTTCCTACATGATTGCCAATTATGTTGTTTATTTTTAATTTGTATTTTTTTTAAATTGCTGTCACCTCTAGGGCATATTTTGGGTTCTATCTTTTTGATGATAGTTGCCAGGTTGCTGTTGTTGTTTAATGTATTTATCTTTGTAAGCTGCTTAGAATAGTGGCATGCCATTATATGATGATAGTGGTGGTAAAATCTGAATGAATGAATGAATGAATAAATATTAATACAAAGTACCTCCAATTTACTATAATTGATTTGCTATCCTCCTACTTTGCATAACCTTATTTCTGTCATAATTTATTTTGTTTCCTTTTTGTGAGATGTAAAAAGAATCATATTCTCAACAAGCAAACTACTTTTATATTGACTCTGTCTTACTTCCATTTATTTTATTACTTTGTTTTGTCTAATTTTCTCCACTAAAAGTTCAAGTGCTCTGCATAAGTGAAGCCTCTAAATCATTTTTATATGCAGTCTTACATACAACACATTTCAGTTGTCAATCCATACTTTATTCACAGTGCAAATGGACAGTATCAGGGCCCCTGGCATTCTGGAAGAGGCATAATCACTGTCTCTGGTCTAGCTTAAAAAATATGGACCTGTTCCTCATGTGGATATCCTAAGCAGTGTATTTCTCTTAGAGTAGAAAAGATGAGAGGTCACTGATCAGCTCAGTGACCCAAGAACTACTTGTTCTATTGAATAAAGGCTCAGGTAGCTCTATATTATACAGATCACCACACTCTTTGTTTTTATTTTATGCCTTGTGTGCCTGAGGGTCCTATAGTGGCCCCTGAATCAAATGAAAACATTGATTCAGAATCAATGTTTTGTGGCGTTGCACTCCAGTTCACCAGTTTAATAGCCTCAGTAGGTTTCTCTCTATGTATGTACATATACAGTACTGTATATGTACAGGTATGTATATTTACACACACATTTTTTTATTTATTTACAATTTTTAGACTGCTCCTTCTCCAGAAGAGAACCCAAAGTACCTTATACTATTTAAAACAGTACTAAAAGCTTTAAAAATTCTTGTTCAATGTTGTAATAATTGAACAGATATCAAGTTTAACACTAGGGATAAAAACTGGTTAAAACATATAGACACATATGTATATGCACATGTTGAGATTGTGAAATGCCATATATATATGCATACACACAGATCTATATGGGCTGAGGTTTTGGAATACCATGTCTTAGCTCTGCCAGCTAATACTGTTGGGTTGAAGTAGAGCCACAGCTTCCTTTTGCTTGAAGTGATTTTAGTGCTAATGAAATGTTGAGAGGCAGGAGGGTATTGTGGTTAAAGTGGTTAGAGATACTATGGGAAAAAGCCTGTGTTGTCCAGAAGACTGTCACACATGATTAGTTTGCTTGAGAGTACAGAAGTGGAAATAGGTCAAAACAGAGAGCAATTTTTCAGCTGCAAAACTGTGAAAGGACCATCTACAATGCTGTCTACATTCTAGTACTGTAAATGGAATGTCCAACTAGGACTTAGAAGACTGAAATCCCTGCTTGCTCATGGAAATTCAGAAGTAGGTGTGTGGCACTGGTAAAAACACTCTTTATATGTACTGTATATCTCATATACTGTACTTTGGAAACCCTGCTAGGATTGCCATAAGTTGGAAACAAATTGACGACCTGTAACACACACAGGAAACTGCTACTTTTAAAGCTGTTGCCATCGTTCCCTTGCATAAATAATCACGTACAATCTCCTTAGTTATTCTGGTTATTGGGTTTTTACAGAAAAATTTTACTGTTCAGGATAGATGAAGTTCAAACTAAATTAATGGACCATTACAAGCATTTTGTTGGCATCCCAGATGATAATAGCTTCTTCGTGGCTCAGTTCTGGCTAGTTGTTCTTCTAGCCTACACAGTGTGGTCCTTTGAAGGTTGGATGTGCAACTTGAGATTTATTACACTATTAGATGTGTATGCCGTGATCAATGAGTTGGCTACCCTGAAATATTTTTGAGCTTAGCATCACCAGGCTGCAAAGCAGGGTTACCTGCATAATGTCTGCATAACATATATTATGTGCATAGCTTGTTGCAAAGGGAGAAAAAGTGTTTCATAGCAGGATGCTTTAAGAGCAAGCATTTCCAGAAAATGCAAATGGGGAGCCAGGTAAAGGTAAAGGTTCCCCTTGACATTTAGTCCAGTCGTGTCTGACTCTAGGGTGCGGTGCTCATTCCCGTCTCCAAGCTGTAGAGCACAGAGGCTTCTGTAGTTTAACCTGCAGCGCCACCATGTCCCTTAAATGGGGAGCCAAGGTGTATGCTAAAGCAGCCTTCATTCCTTTTTTGTTTGAATTGCTCATGCCAGATCAGTTATCAAGACTGACAGCACTAATTACTTGGCTACTCTAACGATGGCTCTTCATCTAGAGCTGGCATACATGGGAATGAGTTGATGCTACATGTAAAGGCACAGCTTGAAAATATTTTTTATAGTACTGTTATTGTGCATGAATGTTTCCTGATTCAGCAGAAGATGAGCCCGTGGAAGTAAACTCCTGAATATGCTGGATTATTGAGCAAGTTTGTTCTGTATAATGATTTTAGCTTGACATTGTGTAAATGGTGTTTCCATTTAATTTAAATTTCTTGTTATTTGGACGTTTACCCTAATGTTATGGTAAAGCTACTTTGAAATTGAGTCCACAAAAGTGACTTCCAATCTTCCAGGTGCTTACCAGTCTCCTGCTTGCCAGCCAGCCTGCCCTCCTGCCTCTGTGGATCTCTGTTGAAAGATTTTTGACACAGCTTGACAGAAAGATCTACCAACCCTTTTACAATTCATGAAAAGTTTATTAAATAGTTGTCTCAAGCATTGGTTCCCAATCTTGAGTAACACAGGTGTTACTGGACTGCAATTCCCAGAAGACCTCACCACCAGCTCTGCTGGCTAGGGCTTTTGGGAGTTGCAGTCAAAGAACACCTGGGTTATCCAAGGTTGGGTACTCTTGGTGTAGAGGAAATACTGGCCCATCTGAGACAACAAGGCGATTGTTATGCACTCATTTTCAGTAAAATGTGTGTGACCCATAAACAAACACACCATCCCCTCTTTCAACAATATGATGTGGAGTGACGTTTGGATGATAGGATCTGGAATTAAAAATATAAGGCATATTTGCATTTCAGTAATCCCAGTATTGATACCTTATGCATGATCGTAGCCATGTAGCCATTATTGCCATTACCATTTTGAGTCTTCTTTTCTTGTTACGTAATTTTCTTATGAAGCTGTGAATGTTAAATTTATGTATTGCTCATATATTTTCAAGCAACACTGTGCTTTTTAAAACTTTTACAGATGCGGTGGATGGAAGTGAACTGAAGCAGTTATTTGAGATTAACTATTCTCAAATTTACTTTATCTTCTATGAAAATTTCATAACAGTGGAAAGTAGCTTGAAACAGAAAGGTAAGCATTTTAGGAGGGCTTTGAGTTAGTGGTGTTAAATTGTTTTATATTGTCTTGAGTGTACTTTTTACTGTCCAATTTCATCATCTGTATGTATCTTGAATATGCTTGGTAATAGATATGACAAAGATGGGAACATCTAGCAAATCGGAACCAAGTAAGAGTCAGCAGCATAATTCTGCTACTGTGTTGAATTCCTTGGGTTAGCCTTTGGCCTTGAGGCTCTTGGAAAGTGGTTTAAATTAACAATTTGCTTTGTTAGTCTAGTTATTGAGTTGCATGTGGAAATAGGTAGTCTGCTTAAAAATAAAGTGTAGAGCTGTTGACATTATAGCACTGGGTTATTAAAAATATTTTTCTTGAAAAAAGGGAGCTGAACATTATATGGATATAGTATTAGTCTTAGGCACTCAGGAGTAAGGTAAACTAAGCCTGTATAGAAAAGAGGCACTCCTCCTAATGAACAATAACTGGTAGAATTCAGTATTACTATAGTCACAAGGGAGCTTTATATTATTTCCTAGGGGAATACTCTCAACTGCTGAGAAGTTTACTGTTGAGCCGGATGCATTTCTGCAGGGCGAGGGCATAAATGTTGGAATTCATTAAAAAATAATTACTATGGTAAAAACGTGATACCAAAAGGGCAAAATCCATACATGGGGAAGTTAGAAGAGAGTGCAGTGTATAAATGTTTATGCTAACACTTTGAAGCCAAGGCATAGGAGCTGAAAGTGCAAACTGTCAAAATATAAGTTGTTAATAAGGCACAAAAGAAAAAGAAGTTAAGATACTGCTCAAAACCATAAACTAAAGCAGCTCATAAATAGATCTCTTCAAATACATCAGTTTTTTAAAAAAACAAATGGCATGTTCAGTAAATGGTAAAAGAATAAAAGACTTACTGAAGATGGGATAAAAAGAAAAAAAGTCTTGTAACAATGTGAAGCTGAACAAATAGACTGTGGCACAAACTTTTGTAGTCTTGAGTACACTTTGTTAAATCGAGTATTCATATTCATTTGAAGTCAGATATGTTTATACAGTTTTGTCAATGTAGTTTCAAAAAGTGTGCTGTAGAACTGGGAAATATATAGTAAGGGACAACAACAAAAATCAAGAAGATGAAGCACCTGAAATTCTGAAGCATTGGAACTTTTTAATTTACCAAGAAGGGAATGTAAATGATAGCAATTTGCAAAATTGTGCACTTCTTCCTTCAACTGGGGTTAATAAATAGTTGGTTAACACATACACATAAATACAAACATACACAGAACAGTTATCTCTATATCTGTCAGGGTTTGGTAGAAAAGGTGCAAGGACCCAGTCTAGAGCAAGATCACAGGAACAAGATAGAAACAACCCCACAGCCCCAGCAGAGACCAACCAGCTAAGGTTTTGAGTCCAAACGGTAGCCAAGTAGAAGGATGATGCAAATCGTGGTCAGACACTCCAGGAGTCAAAGCCAGGAAGAAAAGTATTACGGCAGCAGGGTCCAGAGATGCAAGGAGAGGCGAGGCAAGGCAGGAACAGCAGGGTAAGCAGACAGGGCAGAAAGGAACCAAGAGGCAAGCAGGGTAGGAACCACCAGGCAAAGCAGGAATAACAGGAGAGTACAACCAGAAACCCTCACTGCTGTGGCAAAGGTCTGTAGGGAAAGCCTGCTCTCATATAGCCCAGTCCTCAGATTCCACAGGTGGCGCTCCTGAGGAGCTGGGCAGCAGCTGCAGGGAAAGGACCTAGCCCTGCAATCTCTAGAGCAGTTCTCCCCAGAGGGATGGGGGCCAATCCTGCATGCACTAAGGTTGCATGGTTCCGGCATGGCCCCAGTCCTGATACTCTTCTATACTCTAGACCAGTGGTTCTTAACCTTTGTTACTCAGATGCTTTTGAACTGCAACTCCCAGAAACCCCAGTCAGGACAGCTGGTGGTGAAGGCTTCTGGGAGTTGCAGTCCAAAACTCCTGAGTAACCCAAGGTTAAGAACCAGTGCTCTATACAATCCTTTCCATACACTTCCATGTGTAATGAACCTTAAAGGTCTTTATGACTCCCTGATCCAGAGGGTGAATTAGAGATTTTTTTTTGTTTGGGGGCAAGTAGACCATGTTGACACCTTTGGTGTTGAACTCAGAGTTCTGGGTGGCTAGGGGCATAGTATTAATGGAATATTTATTTGTTTGTTTATTGAACTATTTATTTATTGAAAAAATCTGTGTGTAACCAAACCATGCTGTTCAGACCCTTGTAATTCAAGGGAGAAGTGTACATGGTATGGAAATAGCATGAAGTACAGTGGTGCCTCGCATAACGATTTTAATTGGTTAAAAAAAAACGTTATGCGAAACATCGTTATGC